GGAGGCGGAACCCATGTTATTTTTAGAACAAAAATGTTATGTACATGAATTTTTACTATCAAAATTTATTTCAAAAGTAAGCCTATGTCGCGGATTAAAGTTTGCGGCATGTCATCTATGCTTTTCAATGAATGTGATTTATAATTTTTTTTTTCTAGATAGTTTTTTATTAATTTTTTTTTTTAAGTTTATAGCATTATTGTTTCACTATAAGTTCAATATTGTTCACAAACTAACAAAATGTATGGATAGAATACAAATTCTGATTAGTTTAATATAAAAGAATTTACCACTTTAATTGGAGTCAATACTTTTTTTAGATATAAATCTGAGAGGGAGATTTATGAGCTGGAATGGGCCATGGTAAAGGCCGGGCAAAATGAGGGGCCGAACATGTTTAGGCCGTGATAGCTTGGGCTCGTCCAGATAAGGTTTTGCTCGGTTGAGGCCCAGGACCATGTTGGGACCGAGCTACTTGGGCTTTCTGTGTAGAAAACCGAGCTACTTAAGTTGCTCGGCCGAGATGATTGCTTGCCATTCTGGATTCCACGGTTCACGCGTTTAGCGCGGAAGGAAGGCTTTCGGTTTGCTGGCTCGACCTATCTTGAACTTGGCTTTGCCGGAATGCAACCGAGGTCGGTCGTTCTGGAGCTCGGCGAGTGGAGCAGTCGGGTACGCTACGCAGCGCGGTCGTGAAAGGCCGAGGTGGTTCTGCCGATCTGCCGAGCTCCGCTAATATAGCTTGACGGTTTGGTTAGGTGGTGATTGCAGGATTTGTGTTGACAGATGGGAGAGCAGCACCACGTGTCAAGAGACTAATGGGAGCAAATTTGGGCGCAGAAAGTATATAAGCATGTCTGCACCCCCCATGCTGGGGGATGAAACATCATTTGGTGAGAACAACCTAAACACTCAACTCTCTCTTCTCTCTCTAGGCCCCTGAGTGTGTGCTAACTTGATTGTCGGAGGGGTTTTTCGGCCACACACCGCCGGGTAACTCACCGCCGTTGTGTTCGCAAGTCGATCGGACGGACAAGGAGCTTGGTAGAAAGGAGTACGGGCTCTGCGGAATATTTGCTCCCCGTACAAAATCCATATGTTTGGTGCACCTAATTATAGGTTGAAATCTAATAATTAGACAATATAAGCCAAAATCCATATGTTTGGTGCACCCTCACGTCCGGCGACCACTTCGGGATATTCTTACTCCGTCCGTTCAGAGGACTTGAGGGATGTCCTGAAGGAGCGAGCTCGCCGACGGGAGGCCGAAAGGGTGCCGGCTCTCCAACGGCTATCTTACGGGGGTCACGCCAGTCAGGAGGTCATAATGCCGCCACCCCGCCTGGCCGTGGCTGTCCCTCTAGACACAGATTTGGTGAGGCTGAACGCCACCCCCTTCTCCCTTTAGATAGAAACCACACCGCTCCCCACGGGCTTTCACCAGCTCAAGTTTACGCTCTACGACAGAAAGACCGATCCATACATGCATGTAAGCCACTTCCGGCAGGTCATGGCCGGACATAGGTGCAATGACGCTCTTATGTGCCTTATCTTCCCGTCGAGTTTGGACGAGCTGGGCTTGAAATGGTTTGAGAGGCTACCGGAGGGAAGCATCGCAAGGTGGTAGCAGTTGGCGGAAGCCTCTGTGACTCGTTTCAAGACCAACACTAAAACGCCAAAGGAAGTGGACCACCTTCTCAGTGTCAAAATGGAGTCGAGCGACACACTCAAGGCATACAACTCCAGATACTGGGAAACTTTCAATGAGATTTTAGATTGCCCGATCAACCTGGAAATCACCAAATATAAGCGTGGTCTCCCTGTCAGACATAGGCTGCGGGACTCGCTTACCATGAACCAACCGACATCCATGGGCCAACTAATGCAGCGCATCAATCAGCACATCCGAGTCGAAGACGATGCAGCCGCAGCTACCGTGACGACAAGTCTGGTAGTAGAGAATAAGAGAGTAGTGCGAAAGGTTCACGCACTCGGACAAAATGATGGCAATGCAAACCGCCATGGAAGAGATATAGGGAGTTCGGTTTTTGGAAGACGTCTATAAAAAGGCCGAGGAAAAGGGGCATAAAACTCGCAGAATGTAAATGGTTGATCCATTTCCAGAACATCGAACTCTGCCAATCTAAAAGCTTTGTTCTTAGTTTTGTTTTTGTAACCCTTTTTGCCAATGGCGCAATGAAACAAGTAGACCATTTTCTTGAAAGTTGTTGTATTTTTGCCTCGTCAAACAGATTTAGTGCGGTCTAAGGGGCAACTAACAATCATTTGGATGGAAAGATCTAAATTCCTTGCCAGACGAATTTTGCTCGGCAAGAGGTTCGTTGATGGTTCTGATCAACTTTGGAATTCCTTGCCGGATGGGTTTTACTCGGCAAGAGATCTGTTGATGATTTTATCAACTTTGGAATTCCTTGCCGGACGGGTTTTACTCGACAAGAGTCTGTTGATGATTTTATCAACTTTGGAATTCCTTGCCGGATGGATTTTAAGCAAGAGGTTTGTTGATGGTTTTAATCTTTAGAATTTCTTGCCGAGCTGATCTTGCTCGCCAAGAAGAAAGTCGCCGAGCTGACCTTGCTCGCCTACCTTTGAGTTCCTTGCCGAGCTGATCTTGCTCGCCAAGAGGTAAGTCGCCTAGCGGACCTTGCTCGCGACCTTGGAGTTCTTTGCCGAGTTGATCTTGCTCACCAAGTAGAAAGTCACCGAGCGGACCTGGCTCGCCGACCTTTGAGTTCTTTGCCGAGCTGATCTTGCTCGCCAAGAGGTAAATCGCCGAACGGACCTTGCTCGCCGACCTTGGAGTTTCTTGCCGAGCTGATCTTGCTCGCCAAGAAGCAAGTCGCCGAGCAGACCTCGCTCGCGACCTTAGAGTTCCTTGCCGAGCTGATCTTGCTCGCCAAGTGGTAAGTCGTCGAGCGGACCTTGCTCACCGACCTTGGAGTTCCTTGCCGAGCTGATCTTGCTCGCCAAGAAGAAAGTCACCAAGCTGACCTTGCTCTCCAACCTTTGAGTTCCTTGCCGAGCTGATCTTTGCTCGCCAAGAGGTAAGTCGCCGAGCGGACCTTGCTCGCGACCTTGGAGTTCCTTGCCGAGCTGATCTTGCTCGCCAAGAAGAAAGTCGTCGAGCTGACCTTGCTCTCCAACCTTTGAGTTCCTTGCCGAGCTGATCTTGCTCACCAAGAGGTAAGTCGCGGAGCGGACCTTGCTCGTTGACCATAAAGTTCCTTGCCGAGCTGATCTTGCTCGCCAAGAAGCAAGTCGCGAAGCAGGTCGCGAAGCAGACCTTGCCCGCCGACCTTAGAGTTCCTTGCCGAGCTGATCTTGCTCGTCAAGAAGAAAGTCACCGAGCTAACCTTGCTTGCCGACTGAGCAAAGTGAACCATCGAGCGAAAAGTCTAGCCCAACCTTGTAATGTAATTCCGGTCACGCAAATGCAGACGGAATTAAGGGGCAATTGAGAGAAAGATTTATGAGCTGGAATGGGCCATAGTAAAGGCCGGGCAAAATGAGGGGCCGAACATGTTTGGGCCGTGATAACTTGGGCTCGTCCAGATAAGGTTTTGGTCGGTTGAGGCCCAGGACCATGTTGGGACTGAGCTACTTGGGCTTTCTATGTAGAAAATCGAGCTACTTAAGTTGCTCGGCCGAGATGATTGCCTGCCATTCTGGATTCCACGGTACACGCGTTTAGCGCGGCAGGAAGGCCTTCGGTTTGTTGGCTCGACCTATCTTGAACTCGGCTTTGCCGGAATGCAACCGAGGTCGGTCGTTCTGGAGCTCGGCGAGTGGAGCAGTCGGGTTCGTTGCGCAGCGCGGTCGTGAAAGGCCGAGGTGGTTCCGCCGGTCTGCCGGGCTCCGCTAATATAGCCTGACGGTTTGGGTAGGTGGTGATTGTAGGATTTGTGCTGACAGATGGGAGAGCAGCACCACGTGTAAAGAGACTAATGGGAGCAGATTTGGGCGCAGAAAGTATATAAGCGTGTCTGCGCCCCTTATGCTGGGGGATGGAACATCATTTGGTGAGAACAACCTAAACACTCAACTCTCTCATCTCTTTCTAGGCCCCTGAGTCTGTGCTAACTTGATCGTCGGAGGGGTTTTCCGGCCACACACCGCCGCGTAGCTCACCGCCGTTGTGTTCGCAGGTTGATCGGACGAACAAGGAGCTTGGTAGAAAGAAGTACGGGCCCTGCGGAATATTTGCTCCCCGTACAAAATCCATATGTTTGGTGCACCTGATTATAGGTTGAAATCTAATAATTAGACAATATAAGCCAAGAGTACATTTCTCCTAACTTTAACTAATCAATTTTTTTTAACTTATTTAAGATGTTTCTACTTAATAAGTTGTGCACAAAAACTGTACCAAATAATCTAACATATACTCTCAAATTAGTTAAATTAAATTAGTTAGTAACTAATTTAATCTACACCAAATATCCCTAAATTAGTAAAGTTAAATTATAATTAAAGGCGTAGTCATTTCTCCATCAATTTGAATCCCTGACCTAAGGTGTGACTACAAGAAAAAATTATCATATAAGTCAGCCACGTATCTTACGTGATATGCCCTTACAATTTTATTAGTTACATACCCACTATTTTTTATTTTTTTTTCCTAAGTATTATATAAAACAACCAATAGAATTGGAAGGAAACACAGCCTAGTTGAATTTCTTGAAAGACAAAATAATTCATCGACTACAAGACCACAAGGTCAAGACATTAGAGTGTAGCTCAAGGTCTAATTCATCGACTACAAGACCACAAGGTCAAGACATTAGAGTGTAGCTCAAGGTCAAGACATTAGACCACAAGGTCTAATAGCTACATTTTACGATGTGGTGAGTAAGATGTCAGGGATTCAACTTGATAGAGTAGCGGCGAACCCTTAAATTATAATCTAATTATACTACCATACAGACACACACACTCTCTCTCTCTCGGTAAAACCCAAGGCCCCTATATTTTGTTCACACACTCAAATGTGTAAACAAACACATTTCTCCCAACTATCCCTGTTACACGTGTCTGCATACAAGCCTTCCACCGAGTCTCCCCCTTCTGGTTATTTAGTTCCTCCTCCTCCATGGTCATTGCCAGCCACTCACTCACTTACTCACTCACTCACTCACTCTCTTTTCTTCACATATTTCATTCTCGTAGCCAACTTGAATTCTACTTCTCAAGAATGAAGGTACTCTCACTCGTTAATCAAAAAGCTCACTAGCATTTCTCACTCTTGATCTTTCCACACTTGACACATGTCACTCTCTCTTTGGTTGTGCAGATCTTCAATTGGGTTCATCGAAAGTTTCATCACAAAGGTTTGGTTTTTCATCATGAAATCGAATTTAAAATGCCTTGCTGTTTATTTTTGCCCATTTCTTTTAACACACATAATCAATTGAATTAAATTGATACAATTCAAATTAAAGAGATCAAATTTTGTCTAATTATTTTGATCTACAGAGACAAATTTGTGTTTTTGCAGATGGGTTTGGTGGGAATGTGAAGAAGAGCACCGAAACAGAGTGTCAAGTACTGCTTGAAAATGTCACTCTCGTGGAGTTGCTTGGGGGTTGGAGAGATGGTATTCTCACCATTGGTACATTTGGGTTCGATCCATCCACTGATTTCGATCGAAAAAATGAATGTCCGTTGGTTGAAGAAGAAGAAGAAGAAGAAGAAGAAGATGATGATGATGATGATGATGATGATGATGATGATGATATGAAAGAATGTGATGATGAAGAAGAACAGAGTCTGTTGGTGCTGACCGTGAAAGCTGATCTGAGAGATTATGAAGTTGGTTTAGATTCGGAAGAGTTGGAAGGTGATATGAGGAAGAAGAAGAGAATTACACTTGCAGACTTGTTTGTTGCTGATTCTGATTTGAATGCGAAGTCAGATTGCGGGAAGGTCCTAGAAGATTTTGGTAAGAAGGTTGATGTTGATGCGAAGAAGAAGAAGAATAAGAAGAAAGGCTTCTCGTCTGCTAAGAAGTTCATTCCTGGTGTTGGAGACGATACAAGTCCGATCAAGAAACTACACCAAGTTAGTTCTCTCTCTCTCTCTCTCTCTCGGCTGTGTGTTTTCAATTTTATTAGTTGCTTTATGTAATATATAAGAGAAAAAATAAAAAATATAAGAGAAAAAATAAAAAAAAATGAGCATGTAACCAATAGAATTACCACTTAAGATAGATATGAATATATTTATGTGATAATTTTTCCTCTTGGGAATTTTACAATTGGGTTAGACTGCTCTCATGATGAGAACTTGAACTTGAGGGCTTGCAGAGCCTTCTACGGATCTCATTTTGATTATCTGAATCGTTCATTTTATAAAACTTTCAATGTGTATCATCTGTAAAAAAAATTTAGGGCAATCTAATAATTATAACATTTTAAATTTATCATATTTGTCTCTAAAAAATGGATAATTTATTTCAAAAATATATATGTCATCTATTTTTTTCGAAGATAAATGTAATAAATGAAAAAGTTACGTTTATTGAATCAAACTAATTTTTTTTTATGAATAATATATATTGAGGACCCTAAAAAATGAACTGATTGAATTATCGAAATAGATCTGTAATAGACCCTATAAGCCCCTTTAGTTCTCCCCTTTAGTTCTCTCATGTCGAGATTTCAATATAGGATAACTCAATCTTTTACAATTATCTTCTTTGCTAAAACCAATGGATGATATCACTTGTTTTTAACGGCATTTGACATCATGCCCTATTTTTGAAGTAGTCACACATAGTGACATTGTGTATCAACAGATGCTTTCGTGACTCAAATCCATGATAATTTGACTCTAATACAATGATTTTAAGGAGGTTGAAACTCGGTCCGATAAGTTATTTATTTATTTTGAATTTACAAAAGTTGATACGTGTGGTAATTATTAAAAAATAACTTTTTGCTATAAAAAAAAAAAGTTGTGAGTCTTTTTAAATTTTTACTTTTGTGGAAAATTATTATATTACCCCTGTAGTAGTAAAATCTTTGTTAACAAAACTAAGGCATGTGTAATGAAATTTATTGAAGTATGAAGGGTGAAATTGTCTTTTAATAATTCTAAAACATTATATTTATAGAGAAGTTAGTATTTTTTATAGTCAAACTAAACAAGCTTTTTCAGTTTTACTTTTCAGCTAAAAAAAAAAACACTTATTTATAGATTGTCAATCAAGATTTTGTCTAATTTGTATTATTCCCTTTAAAATTAATTAAAATTGTTGAGAATTTCACTTATGTCTTTTCATGACTTTCTACATTGCGCTGGTAATTTGGCTCTAACATCACTTGTTGAGCCAAGTTTTAGAGGTGGTTTGACATCCTCTAAATAATTCATCTTTTTATTTTTTTATTTTTTTTATCACATCATCTCTCTATTTTTCTGCATATCTTTTCATAAAAAGATAAAAAATATACTTATTTAGATCATCCTAAACAATGCCTCACTATTTTTTAGGGTGAGCCTGACTTAATTCATTTATGACATTCGTATTTGTAGACATATTTTTGAAATAATTGTAGAAAGCAACGTTATATATATATATATATATATATGCAACAATCATTTAATCTAACTTTGATACTATTTTTGAAACTAAAGACTCTTCTATTAACATCATTAATAAGTTATTTTATTAGATTATTTGAATCATACAATCTTTCTATTTTTTTACACATTTTTTCGTAATAAGTTATATCCAAAACAATTCTATGGCCATGTTTGGCAATTAGTTAAAATAGTTAAAAAAATCAAAAAGTTAATATGAAAATTTAATTCTCTCTACTTTTATTTTTACACATTTTTATAAAAAGTTAAAAAGTTACTAAAAAAAAATCAATTTCTAAATAAATCCTAAATTTTACCATTTCTCTTAAAACAATTTCGTATTAAAGAGATTTCACTCAGGTCAATATTACACACCCAACCATTGAAAAGATAAAAGAAATGTTTTATGAACTTATAATTAACTAATTACTTTTGTAATGCATATACATATATAGTTGATGAAAAGAACGATGAAGAGGAAGATCCATCCAGACCTTGAAGAAAAATTTGAAAAGATGGATAGCCAGATGAAGCCTACCACGTGTGGTCTTATTGCACATGGATATGGAACTAATGAATCTGTTTCCCTTCTTCAAACTAAAGGTAACACTCATGAGTAAATACTAGAGTTGATAATGGTGATTTCGAAGTCAATTTGAAACAATTGATCATTGCCAAATAATAATCATCTAAGCTCAAAATACTTCTCTAATATTAAATTTTGGAAAATGTTTCTTCTTTTCTTTCTTTTTTTTTTCCACCAAATTATTCACTTGAGTGATATAACAATGATTTCTATACAAACGTCTTTGCACAATGGTGAGTTTTTTTAAAAAAATATTTTTTTATGAAAAAGTTACTTATTTAGTGAAGCGAAACAACTTATTTATTTTCAACTTTTTAAACCAAAAAAAAAAAAAAAAAAAAAAAACATCTTTGGAGATAGTCAAACGGACCATGCACCCCTAATTTTTGGCATTGATGTAACACACTACTTTGTCATAGAACCAGAAATTACTTAGAATTCGTTTAGGATATGGGTTGATTTTTTTGCTTTTGAGCTATTTTAGTTTAGGTTAAAAAATCTCGTTTGAGATAGGTTTTTTGATTTTTTTAACTTTTGTGAGAAAAAAAAATGAAATGATTATGATTTGGATATGATGTTTTGTCTTATTAACTTTTTAGTCTATTTTATTTTTTCGTGATTAAAATAATTAAAATATCAAAAAATTTAACATGCCAAACGAAGGCTTACTCATCAACATAGCTACCACCTTGGATCATAACTAAAACTGTTTTGTGAAATAACCAAATGTTCTGTTTTGTGAAATAACCAAATGTTATAATGTTATTTAATTTAAAGTTAGCAATAATGGGTCCTCCAGAATATAAAACCAAAGACAGTTCCAACAAGAAAGTGGTGGAATGATGACACATGAGTTCTTTATTAATTTTTGCTCTTTCTTTCTGTCTTTATCAGCATCATCATCAACATCAACTTATTCTCCTTCTTCATTTTTTGGAGTTATTTTATTTTATTTTCCTTAAGGCAATGATCAAACAGTTATTTTATTTTTTGGGGAATTTTACATATCATTGACTGAAGTTTCTTTATCTCTCTGATGCAGAATCTATTTTCTGAGATGTGAGAGAAGTCAAGATCTGGTTTTTTTAAGAAAACGTATTCTCTTGATTGCCTCTTAAGGATTATGTTTTCTTCTGTTTACTTTCATGTATATATGAACGATTGAACTATGTGAATTTATTTTGTACTTCTTTGGTTATTGTCCTAAAACCTTGGTTGTCATGTGAGCATCACGGGATTCAATTGATTTTGTTTTGGCACATTGATGCATGTCTCTTTTTTTTTTTTTTGCGTGTGCGCGTGCTCATATTTGTGTTAATTTTAACAAAATTTGTTAGTGGGACACATCTAAAAACTTTTGTCAATTCATATATATTATGTGTTTGAGTTTGTAATAAACTGTTGTGTTCCTAAACATATTCATTTCTTAACTTGGCAGGTTAATTTTTCTTAAATAACTAATCATTTTTTAGTGGAAGGAGTTTTAATAGCTAAAGAAAAATGGTACAAATTAAATTAGGTCAAAGATTTTGTCTCTAAGTAACTAACTCTCTCATGTTACACTCATATCTTTATGTTTCAAGATTTGTATTGTTTGAGAAGTGCACTTTTTGTCTTTTTAGACTAAAAAGTTGAGGAAAAAAAAAAAGATGTTTGGGTTACCAAAAATGTGTATTTAAATATTGTATAAATAAGTGTATGTGAAAAGTTAGTGAAGTAGCCCATGCTGGCAGAGCAGTGGGCTAATTAGGAGGTAGGAAATGGATGCCTCCTTTTTGGGCTTGAATTTAACGGTATTGTTTGGCCCGTATGGGCCCACCACGGGTACCATGTTACTAATTGGAACCATTCAATGTGTAGAACTCGTCGAGTACTATATACTTGTAAAAAATCACGTTGATCGGATATTGATAGCTATCTGATCGTGTTAGTTTTTTGTCAACCGTTAATTATAACTCCATCCAATTTTTATACAAAACTTATTTAATCATGTAGTTAGCAATATCCGATCAACGTGATTTTTTATAGGCATATAGTACTCAACGAGTTCTACAAATTGAACAGTTCAGATTATCAAAACGAGACCCGTGATACGCTTTCACAAGCCGAACAACACAGTGTTGTTTGTGCACTACGCCTGTGCAATTTTCCCAAAAAAGTCATCGAAGTTTGTGGGGGAGACGACACCAGTTGTAATAATTAAGTGTAAAATTAATTTTTTTCTATATTTTTTTAAGTGGATAGTGATAACTTTTTAACCTTTTAAGTATTTTTTTGACTTTTTAACTTTTTTTATGTATCCCAAACGAAAATGCATTGAGAACATGATTGGAGGAAGTTTAGAATATAATTGTTGATTTTAAGGTCTAAAACTGAAGACAAGCCCATTTCTATTTAAGTAAGAATTTGGACTTTTCCATTAATTGGAGGGTCCAATTCATAAAATGAACTATGGATCACACAAAGGGGCCCACTGCTGTTCAAAATGCGGAGTCCAAAAGCAGTATTTTTTTTTTTTTCTCACTATTATGTAAAATCTAATTTAAAGTGGGGGAATTATAATTAAGTGATGCTTGAAAAAAATATTTACAAATATATGAAATAGTTTAGAATTTTAATTATTAATATTTATAAAATTTGTCATGTGTAATTTGTTTTCTCCATAATTTCCCTATTTAAATTTGTCATGGGGCCCACTAACTTCCTTATGCTAGATTGCCTAATGCGCCAGTGGACCAAAGCCCAACCCAATATTATATATGAGGCCTAGTTTAAATGGGTATTAATGGATATATATATATATGATATCTGTTGGCAATTAGCCAGCCCAGTAAACAAACTAATGTAACGGTCTAACCCAAACTTTCTTTGTGCATCCATCTATACATGGATTACAGCATATCCAATTATTTATCTTTTCTTTTATTAAATTTAAATCTAATAAAAAAGTACTCAAAAATCAACGCTAATCATTTCATCAAATTGAAAACTCATCAAATCCTTCATAAAATTTGAATTTGATGAGAATTTAAAAAGACGAGAGCAATATTGGCAATGATATTTTTTCAACAAATTTGATGAAAAAGAAAATTTGAGATAACAGGAGGACTTGAAAAAAAAAATGAAAGTATTGAAATAGCTCATATCAAATCAAGTTTTATTATTTAAATTTGAAATCAAATTAGATGAAAAAATTAGTAAAGCATTGGAGATGGTCTAAGTCAGAACAGTTTGGAGACATGTGACAGAATCAATTGCTTCCTCCAAAACAATAATTGAGAAATTTTTTTGTTAATCTGCCTCCTTATAGCACATGTTAAGATGCTTAAGACACACGTTAACAAAATATATTAAGAAAAATGTATAATTAATTAATTCTCTAATTCACACACAAATTAAATAGGATAAGTAGATGTCTTACAAAATTTTATTGTCATTAAACATAAATATAGTAGGGTTTATATTATTGAATACACATGAAATCTATTATTTATGTCTTAGCTAATGAATCCAAAATTTCCCACATGGTCAACATCAACAACATAAACAAGGGAAAAGAAAATAGAAAATTTCTGAAAGAGAAAGAAAAGTAAGACAGTTTGATAGACCATATAAGCACTGTAGGATGTTGTGTACACCTACAAATTAGCAAAGTATATATATATATATATATATGATTAGATTACATTTCATGGTATAGAAATTTTAGAGAAGATATTTACTTAAATTAAACACCGACAAATTATACTAACCCACCAAGGATCCTCTAGAGTGTTTTTTTCTTAAAGTTTCATAAAGTGATACATTGTGTGGTTGAGATTTAATGTTGAAAAATTGATGTGACTTGCCATTAAATCTCAACCACATAATGCACCACTCTAGGAAACTTTAGGAAAAAAAAACTCTAGAGGATCCTTTCTCCAATTCTCTTAGCAAATATGTATGCATTTGTGCCCTGCCCAAATTGACTGAAAGATACTAATGCATCCCCAGAAGACAGCCTTTTCGAAGAACAAAGACAAAAAACAAGTGGTAATAGCACAAGCAATGTTGAAGCAAGAAAGTGATGTTATTATTTCATGCATTCAGTTTTCGCTAATAATGTTACGAAGATCATATTATTATAGTATATATATATATTTTTATTATATGATAGACACGCATAAGAAAGATCAAATTTTCTTCATTTTACTTGTTTCTGCATCCCAGAGTCTGTTATATGGGTGAATTGGTGTTTAGAAGGTATTTTAGGGGAGATTTTAACTTGATGGCACCTAATCAACTTTTTTATCTGATTTGTTCTTGGGTTTTGGTTTTGCACGTGATTATCAAGGAGCATGTAGGATCCTAGTTGGGCTGAGCACTTTTTGTAATGATACATTTGTTAGGTATATATATGGGTATTTTAAAACAAGAATCTTCTCTATTTGCCTTTGTCACGTATTGGTTCACTACCAAATTGCTTTCCATCTTTTATGTGGAAGCATTCTTTTGGGTTTGAATGTGGATGGATCCAAGGGGAGCTCTCGAACGCACCAGAGTGAGTCGAGGCCCAGGCAATTTCAGAAACTCAGCTTTGGAACACGATGCAAGATGCATGTTTTCTGCTCCATTCCCCTTTTTTTTTTTTCTTTTTTTTCTTTTTTTTTTAATCTGCAAAAGTCAACGGTTAGTTGTTAAATTAATACCTATGGGAGTTAGTCTTCCTACCCTTGTAATGCACAAAGTGCCCTCCTAATTCAATTCATCTTTAAGAAAAATTGAACCCATAACATCTCTCTTAAAATTAAACCCTTTTAAGAGTCATGGTAGCTAGTTGATTTTCCTTTCCCATTCCCTAACAGCTTAATCTTTTAAAAGAGTTTTGCACCCGTTGGCTCATTTATAGAAGAAATTCGACAATGCATGACATCAACAAGTTAAATTGGTGCATTCATTATTAAGTTTTTTTTTTTTTTTTTTTTTTTTCCAGAATACTTCCAAGACCGGATTTTTACATTGTGTTTGGTCAAGAAATTTGAAAATAAATTGTGAAAAAAAAAATCATAATTTTTTAGAGGGTAGAGGGAAGGCCCCTACGAAAAAGGAACATCATTCAACAGAATATGCACCAAATTGGCAGGGACCTCAGCAAGCCACACTCACTTGTCTGGAGCTTCCTTTGCCATTTGGGCCAAGTGATGAGCCATAAGGTTGCCATTGCGCCTCACATGCGAGACACGAAAATGTAAGAATTGCTTGGTACAGGAAATGGCACATTGTAAAAAATGACCAAAAGAAGCACATAAATTACTCTCTTCTCGGATAGCCTTCACCACAGTCAGAGAATCACCTTCCAAATGAATGTTGGTTAGCCCCAATTCTGTTGCAAACTCCAGCGCCTTGACAGCTGTAAGGGCTTCAATACAATCGCTCTCTAACCATGTCGGGATTTGTTCCAAGAAGGCAGCTATCGGCTCACCATTCTGAGCACGAATGATGACCCCCACACCACATGACTGCTGATTTTTGAAGGTGGCCCCGTCAAAATTCACCTTAACAAAATCCCCTACCGGCGGACTCCACTTGTCCAGACCACAGCCACCGTGAAGACCCTGCATATTAGCTTGTGCCATTCTAAAATCTTGCAGCAATCTACTTACCATATGAATAGTTGAAACCGCTGGTCGCTCAATACTAGTGAATATGGCTGCATTCCGAGAAGACCACACACCCCAACAAATGGCAAAAAACAACTCCAATGTATCTACATCAGAACTCCTCATAATTTCATATGCCCAACTCATAAAATCAAGACCAACTCCCTTATCTAACACAAACATCAGCGGGCTGTCACGCCATACCTCCTGCGCCATCGGACAGCCCCACAAACAATGCATTAATGTTTCTAGCCCATCACCACAGCAAGTACATGTAGCGTCCGATATCAAATGCCGATGCCGAAGTACAGATTTTGTCGGCAGAATATTGGAGCAGCACTTCCATGCAAAGACCTTGATCTTATTGGGAATCCGAAGGTGCCAGACCCTCTTCCAAAACCAGGTAGTATGTTGCACCTCGGACCCAGACCCTTTCCCCATCCGTAAGCTAAGACTCATCTGTAAATGGTAAGCTGAACGGACCGAAAACACACCACTTCGTGTGTAATGCCACACCAACATGTCGGGTATACCTTGACAGCAGAGAGGGATTTTCTGAATGGCTTCCAC